ATATATATCTTTCTCTCTCTTTTTTTCTCTCTAATCTCTCTCCCTTTCTCTCTCACTCTCACTCCCCCTCTCTCCCACTCTCTCTCTATATATATATCGGTTTATCTCTCCCCTTCTCCCTCTCTGTTTCTCTTTGTCTCTACCTGATACCACCTTCCCCTACCGTTCATTCCTCCAACCTGATTCAAACTACAGGTCATACGGATGTAAATTATAATGCTTATCTTGGAACCACCACCTCCTCCACCTACTTCTTCCTTCTCCTCCCCCTTCACCCGGCATCCCCTCCCAAAGCAGCCTAACCCCAGACATTCAGTATAGTGATCAAATTCATGGCCCTCCCCTCCCCTCGTTATCTACTATCAGCTTCCTCCGGACATCTCTGGAACTCTACTGCCTACACAGCTTTATATCCACTTTGATACGATGGGCTATCCAGGATTTCCCAAATGCTTACAGCGATTTCTGTTACATTTCGGGGCATTTCAGAGTCACTTTATGTCCATGAAAGGGGAGGGGAAGTGTGTGGTGGTGGTGGTGATGTGTGTGTGTGTGTGTGTGTGTGTGTGTGTGTGTGTGTGTGTGTGTTTCTATGTCTGTGTGTGTATGTTGTTGGGTGTATGGGGTTCTCTGTGAGGCCTTGTATGCGCTGATAAAAAAAGAAGAGTTATCGGGTTGTTTCATTTAATTAAGGAGTGTCTTTCGCCTGCAGCTCAAGTAGTGATGTGATGTTTTCTGCTCTTGATGTTTCTGTCTCAGTGCTATATCAATTTTTGAAAAGTCAATTCTCTTACCTTTGACTTGAATCCAAGCACAGGGTCGTGGAATGGGAATTTTGATTAGCTTCTCTAAAGACAATTCTAGAGTTTGCGATAGATGTGCGTAATTTACTCTTTCCTGTCCTTTGGTCTGATTCGGTTGATATTCTGATTGATCGATCACGCAGTCTTCATCAGTATTAAGATGTTGTCATTTGTTATCGATTTTATGTTACTTTGGTTTTACAACCCAAGGTAGTCTGTTGACGGACAAAAATAATTCATACTTGCTGTTGCCTGACATCGAACGTGATGGGGGAAATGACTTTATTTCTTAGAAGTACCCCCTGCTTTGTGGGTTTTTTTTCCTGTTTCTATAATTAAGGCCACTTTCATTGTTAGCAAAAGTCATTGCATTAACATTCACAGAATTCAATTTTTATCTAGTCCAATAAAGCATTCTTCAGCTTGGTTTAACATAACTTCCAGTCCTTGCTCAAGGGCACATCATGCAACTGACAACCGTTTAAATGACGTCTTATTGACATTATGAGAGAAGCTACAAAGATGTTAGGACATGGACATGATAATAAGTAGTGGCAATCACTGTCTAGAGCTTTAAAAAAACCGTTAGTTTAGAACAGATTTCAAAAGGAAAATAGGAGGTAAGAAAAAAGAAGAATGTGTAAGAGATGAAATACGGCTTGATGTTTTTCTTTGGTTATGGTTTTGTTTTCTTATTTTATTTTTCCAGCAATGGGGATCGTATTGACCTGACCTCCCGCTAATGTCCCAGTGGGGGTGAGTTATCTTCCAGGATGTTTGCGTCCAGAAAAATCAGATTGTGTTTCTGGGTCAGGTCTCAACGTTATGTCAGAACGTTCGAGGGGCTAATGAGTATGACACTAGTTGCTTAATTAGCCCTGCAAGTCCTGCGCAGTATGGAACATTAGTACGGTATCCGTTACAAAAATCCTGGTTGTTTTATTGATAACACATGTTGTGCCTGTTTTTGAGAATTATGCTAAGATCAAGGGGGATAAAAACGTATAAGTTATGATGGGATGCGTGGTTTTTTCACTTTGAAGAACTTACCTGTTTTTAATTCAGAATTGTCTTGGTACAAAAGACCTTACGCGCTTCAAACTTCATTATATTTATGATTATTTCTTTCACTTTACGTTCGATTAACATCTCCAAAGTTGTTGGGTTTTTTAAATTGGCTTTTAAAAGTAGAATACATACCTACCTAGGGAATTGGACATTGCGGAAAGGAAACTGTTCCTTTTCCTTTTTTTCTTCTTTTACGCTATCTTGTCTTGTATTTAATCGAGCACAAAGAATGCAGTTACATGATTGTGACTGATGGCTTCGATAAATCCTTCCCTCCCCTGGAACTTTAGAGTTTCGAGTTGCTTGTGTGTGAAAAAGTTCAGGTGTGAACCTCGGGCCAGGGAAGGGAGCAGGTAGCTGAGCTCTCCCCCTCCACCTCCGCCCCCTCCACATCTATAAAGTTTACCCTCATAGCTCATTTAGCCCTCACGTCAGCTATTTTTAGCTTCGACCTCCTCCCCTTTCCCAAATGAAGCCGAGTGTGAGCAGACAGAATACACCTCGCTCTAGTCTCTTCTCCTCTCACTTTAATTTTCGACCACCTCGTGGAAGGGATTTTTAACGTCTCCTCATCCAACACATGTGGTTAGCTCAACCTTTGTCTGTGTCTGCTTATATTATTGCTCCGT